GGCCGGACACGGGGTGCGGGGGCTGCGTGTCCCCGAGACGTGAGCTGGAGCCCCCACCCCCCTCCCTGTCCCTGTCCCCAGGGGTGGATCCCCAAGATCTTCAAGAAGAAGACGTGCACGGCGTTCATCGTGGACCCCACAGACCCAGGGTGAGGAGCTCGCCCTGGGGACCCGCCCGCTGGCCCCGCCCCGGCCCCCCCTCTTCCCCGACGCCTGACCCCGGGGACACTTCCAAGGGCGTTCCCGGCGGCGTGTCCCTCGGGGAGGGTGCGGGTCGCTGCAGACAGGTCCAGGTTCTCACGCTCCTGCCCAGGGTCAGTGTCAAGGCGCCGGGACTCGGTTCTGTCTCTTTCCGTCCCCTCGTCTGTCTCCTGTGTCACTTTCTGTTTTTCTTTTGTGCCTGTCTCTGTTCCTTCCATCCATCCATCCATCTGTCCAAGAAAGCTTCCCTCAGGGCTCCCCAGACGGCCTACTTTTCAGGAGCACAGGCCCTGCCAGGGCTCAAATTTCACCTGGGGACGCGCGCTGTGTGGCTTTGGGCAAATTGCTGCCCCTCTCTGGGCCTTACCTGGCCTCTGTGCTTAAAAGCAGACCCTACCCCCTAGGGCCGTGGTCGGCAAACCGAGGCTCGCCAGCCACATGCGGCTCTTTGGCCCCTTGAGTGTGGCTCTTCCTAAGCCTTAGGAGGACCCTAATGAAGTTAATAACAATGTACCTACCTGTATAGTTTAAGTTTAAAAAATTTGGCTCTCAAGAGAAATTTCAATCGTTTTCCTTCCTGTTGATATTTGGCTCTGTGGACCGATGAGTTTGCCGACCACTGCGCCTAGGGTTATGGTGAGAAACGTTTGAGTTATTTCTGGAACCGTGCCCGGCCCGTGGTAAGCCCTGAGAAATCCTGCAACTCCCAGGGGCAGGGAGCAGGTACTGCCCGGGCAGGCCCGGCGCTTACACCCGGGGGACCCAGACGGGTTGCCACCCCTGAGCCGCTCCTGGCCTCCAGCGACCATCTCTCAGGTGGGTCTGGGCTGTCTCATTACTGTCAAGACAGTCTCGGGGCGTGGGGCATGGCAGTCTGCCTCGTGGAGTGTGTTTTGTTGTCCGCCTGTTATGTCGATGCCGTCTGGCTTGCAACCATGGCTCAACAGGCAGCTGTGCATTTAGGGGGTGAGTGTTCTAACACTTCCTGGTGGACACTAGGGTGTGGTCAAGAAAGTTTAGGGGCCCTAGCCGGCTTGGCTCAGTGGATAGAGTGTCAGCCTGCGGACTGAAGGGTCCCAGGTTCGATTCTGGCCAAGGGCACATGCCTGGGTTGCGGGCTCGATCCCCAGTAGGGGGTGTGCAGGAGGCAGCCGATCAATGGTTCTCTCTCATCATTGGTGTTTCTATCTCTCTCTCCCTCTCCCTTCCTCTCTGAAATCAATAAAGAAATGTATTTAAAAATAAATAAATAAATCTCACAACCCTGTGAAGAAAGTACTATTTAAAAAAAAAAAGTTTAGGAACCTCTGGTCTAGCGGGCGGAGGGTAGCGGTAAGGCCAGGCAGGAGATCCAGATGTGAAGGGCGTGCCACCGGGTCCCGCGGGAGCTGGGGAGGAGACGGGGCGTCACTCATGTCCTCGGGAGGAGGGGCCAGTGCGGTGACATCTGAAGGATGAGCTGGAGTTCCACGGGTGAAGGCGGGCTGGAGAGAGGAAGGCGGGAAGTGATTCCGGGAGTGGGAACAGCATGTGCAAATTGACCACGTGATGAGGCTTGAAAATGGAGCGGAGTTCAGGCTGCACTGTCAGGAGAGTGGAGGCCAAGGAGGTTGGCGGGGCCAGACCTCACGGGGCCTCCAGTGCCACTCGGGGGGCAGGGACCCTGTCCTAGGTTGCTGGGGACCCACGGGAGGGGCAGGGGCAGCTCTGGGTGCGGGAAGACCCTGAGGGGGCCGTGTCGGGAAGCCAGGGCAGAGGTTGGTCAAGGGTCCAGGTGGGCGGGGAAGAGGTCTGAGCCAGGCCAGGTCTGTGGGGACACAGGAGGGGACACAGAGAGGAGGGGACGCGCACGCGGGTAGGAGCTCGGGGACTGATGGATTTGGGGAGTGAGGAGAGTGGCTCCTGGACATTGGGCTTGGGGACTGAGAGACAGTGGGGTTGTCCCCACAGTGAGGGACCCAGGAGGATGAGCAGGTTTGGGGAGCGTTTCGGGGCTCGGTGAGAGATCTAGTGAGCTGGGGCCCAGGGGCACTCCGGGCCTTGCAGACCTGGGTCGGGGACTCAGGGGAAGGTCTGGGGCTTCCGTCCAGGGTTTGAGAAGTCCTAGCTGTGGGTGGTAATGGAAACTGGAAGTGGGGGGGGTGGTTATGGGAGAAAGTGTGAAGTCAGGGAGGTTGCCAACTGGCAATTCTGTGACCTGTTTTCCCCCCCATGGAAGAGCATTTGCAAACACCTGTCTCCAAATGCCGCCTCAGGTCCCGGGCCTGGGACAGCCTCTTCCTTTCCACCTGATGCTTCCTTCCCTGAAGCCACTTGCCTGGCCCCTGGGCTTCAAGTTTGAGACTGGTGTGGGGAAGCCGCATGGTCCCGGATCTGGGGACCACCTGACGCTCAAGGGGGGAGCAAGCCACAGATGAGGGAGGACGAGCCACTAGGGGGGCAGTTGTGAGCCTTTCAGCTGTGGCCAGCGCCTCTTTGCCACTTCTGGATAGTCAGATAAGACCTGAATAGAGGCCATTGTATTGGGGACAGGCGGTAATTGCCGATCCTGTCGGGAATTTCAGTTCCGGTGGCCACGCTGAGAGGGAGGGTG